TTGTATAAGAAAAATATGAATTACTTTGAACTCTAATTCACGCAGAGCTAACCAAGAAAAGTCCAAGAATAAACATATGGAGCTTGATATTATGATATTATTAAAAAAAAAACAAAAAAAAACAGCTATTTAATATATTAGGTTTTCTTCGGGTTTTTCAAAGGAGCAACTACTCCTTATTACTCTACATTTTTAAATACTCTGAAGATGTTCCCAACAAACATAAATAGAAACAAGAGACCAGCTCAGTGTGGCAATCTGTGACATCAGTGATCCCAGATCATGAGCATGAGTCACATCCTTCCAGAAACAGCTTTGGCCTTGACAAGACCTGATAATACCACAGAGCCCTCTTGGTTTAATTATCATCTTCCTTTGGCTAACGATTTCTGCTACTCTTAAATCCCAGTTCTCCAAAGGAACAGGATCTCACACCGAAAATGTGTCTGCTTCCCGTAAAGTAAGCGGTCATATTTGTTCTGTTTAAAACAAACAGCAGGAAAAACAGATGTGGAAACACTTTTCCGAGATTCACAATGGTCACGCGGGCTGTAAGTGATACTGGTGAGTGAAGGTGTGGTCTGCCTGTGCCTGCGGATCTCAAGAAGCAGAAGAAAATGTGAAGCATCCAGTAACTTACACTGGTAAAGCCACGTACACTTTAACCATCTGCCTGAGCCCTAAAATAACTGTTTATTTAGCACAGCAAACAGCTGCTGCTCATTCTCCTAGTGTGCAAACACTTCCACAGTGGTGCGGTCCATCTCCCTGTTTTACTTTCAGTACATTCAGAACTTTAAGACACTTAATTATATTATTTTAGACAGCTAAAGAAACTGGAAAGTGTTCACTTATGAAATGACTGAGCAGGTAAGCTAAATATATAAATCACTGCAAAGGCCTTAAAAAGATAAAAAAGTGCTATTCCCCTTCAACCAAAAGACATCTTACTTGCACACCGTATTTGTTTAGTTTAAAAAACACATGTGAAACCATCTTTTCTCTTCAGGTCAGCAAAAAGGGAGAGGCTGCTTTACATGCTGAGGTAAATGTCTGTGGTCATGGAAACACTGCACTGCACACACACAGTAACCTGGGAGTGTTGGCTGCACTGATTCCTGAAGAAGTGCAAAGTGAAGGTCGAAGGTCAGTTTTGATTCTCACCTTGCTCTGGTGTGGGAGGAGTCTGTCGAACTGTTGCAGGACCTCCAGCAGCTGATGATCCAGTCATGGGATTCCCCGTAGACGCGGCATTTAGCTGAGATCTGCCCCCCTGGGAGAGGCTCCTGATTGGTTGCCGAAGAGACGAGGTTGTCGGTGTGGAAAGGGAGGAAGAGCGGTAAAGAGGATTTGGAGAAGTCCGAGGGGAAGCAGTAGAGGGAGAAGATGAGGGTGTTGCTGGAGGTGTTGGCATTGTGAGTTTAGGATTTGGCCAGTTTGAATTTGTCGTAGTTGAGTTAACAGATGAGCTGAGAGAGGAAGGTCCGGGTCTCAGGGTGGTAGGAGACGAAGGGTCCAGTTTGGAGGCGGATGAACTGGCAGTTAGCGAAGGATCCATGGCTGAAATTACACCAAATTTTTAAATCAATTAGGAATGTTTTGGGGAACAAACACAATCCCAGTGATTTATGAAAAATTATGAACAAAACATTACTGTGGTAATACTAGTAATGTGTGGAAGTGTGTGTGTGT